TGCGTGGAGGGGGGGTGGCAGGTGGAGGGGCCGGGGACCCATCCAACACTCCCCCGCTCCCTGACTGCCCCCTGGGACTCCCCTTACCATGCTCATGTCCACGTGTAGGCAAAACACGCTGCAGGCAGCAGGGGGGAGCAGGGGAGGGCTCTGGCTGCTGGAGGCCAATGGGAGTGGCTCAATCCGGCCCAACCACCATGTCTCCTCCTTTATGTGCGTTCTCGAGAACCCACTTCTTCAGTTTCCCATATACTATTGCTCTAATTCCACTGGCACAATTCATATAACCTGAGAAAGTAACTAGTAATCAACCGACACATGCATTAACATTTCAAGTAATGACATAATCTTCCCGGTTACCCTTCCCTTTCCTCTACTTTCCCTGTGTTACCTCCTCTTGTTGTTCTGGCATTTTAGACCCTGATCCTGTAAGCATATTGTCACGCTGTCTGGAGTGGCCCACGCCCATGCGTCCCTACATCACGGCAGACTGTCAGAAACAGGGCAGACGCCCCACACTGGTGGTGTCTTCTAGAATTAGATTTCACCAAGCCAGTAACAAGTGTGAACTCCTGGATCACTAGAACAGTCTTACCATGAAGTCAGAGACAGTCCCCTTGGACTCTCCAGTCTGTTTTGTACCCAAGGAGGCAAGCTGGACTTAGTGATAAATGGTCACTTACACCAAAAATCACAAAATATTCAGGTTGCCTCCAGTCCCAAGAAACCAGTCACTTACCCCAGATCTTACACCAAAGGCAACACCTGCAGATAAACATGTACTAAACTATCTAAAGGTTTATTAAGTAGGAGAAAAAGGTAAGGGAGTTACTTACAGGTTAAAGCAAGCAGACATATACACACAAATGAGTTACCATCGATGATTCCTAAAGATGACAGCGTTGTAGTGATCTGTCAATTCAAAATGTCTTTCAGGGCAGACCCAGGGGTAACCCTTGGACATCTCTGCCTAAATGTCTCTGCCCTTTGACAGTTCAAATAGCAAACAGATGATCCTGTTTTCTTGTGATCCTCTTTTATCTTTTACATGTAGCCTTTCAGTCCCTGAGACAAGATCCCTTGCACATAGCATTTCCATGGTGTAATATAGCCATTCACCAATCCTTTGTAGTGTGATAATTCTTCATGGCCCATTTAACCTTGCTAGGCCTCCTTAATGGGGATTGGGGGGCCATTCCTGTGCCTGGGTTCACAAGTTCAGAGCAAACATTTTTTTTAAGTTATAAAGCAAAACTTACATATTTCCTTATAGCACGGACTATAGCAACTTACAAGTGAGAGTAATGCAGGCAGCAATTTACAAGCATTTCATAGAGTGTAAACACTAAATACATCCTTATAAGACTAATACTTCTTTTGAACAAAACTAACTTACCGGTGAGCTGCTTTGGTTTCCAGCTATGACTTTGTTAGTTCTTAGCTAACACCTATGGCCTTGGCTAGAGCTGGCACTTGGTTTCCCAGTATCACCCATGTGCAGAACAGCAATATTATGTACCTGTGTAGATCCGTTGAATTACAGGCGTAGGGAGAATCATGGACTCCGTGACCACACACATGTGGAAAGCAGTGTTGCCAACTCTTGTTATTTAATCATGAGTCTTATGACATTTGGTATTGTCCTGGGGACACTTGATTCTGTGAGAATCACAGCATCTACTTGTTACAGAGAAATATCCATGTGCCACCCCTTGAAAGCCCCAAACTAGAAGGCAAATGAAAGAACTCAAATTGTATTTTTGTAATCTCATAATTTTTAAACCAGTCTCATGATTTTTGGCTGTTTGTGGTAGGCAATACTGATAAATTACTGACGAGCCCAAGTGTTAGCAGCATCAGGGACATGGGTTATAAGATCTTCTGGGCAGGTTCTGGTCTGCATTTGTTCTGAGAAGTGTTAAACACATCTAACAATAATAACACACTCTTTTTCTGTGTTCAGAATTTCATATATCCCCACCTCTGCAGAAGTGATACATTTGCCTGATGCCATCTAGTGGCAGTAGGGGGGATATTGAGTGCAATGATTTATTTTCCCTGTAGCCTGATGTGAGGTGAAGAAACATTTAAAGACATGTAAAAACATTTAATAGTCACAAAGGGAAATGACTAAGCATAGATTATCCTTAGTGATGCAAACAGATATATCTCCACTGTCTTCTGTGAAGATTCACTTAGTAAATACCAACAGAGGGTCCTGTGGCACCTTTAAGACTAACAGAAGTATTGGGAGCATAAGCTTTCGTGGGTAAGAACCTCACTTCTTCAGATGCAAGAGGTGCCACAGGACCCTCTGTTGGTTTTTACAGATTCAGACTAACACGGCTACCCCTCTGATACTTAGTAAATAGTTAACAAAATAGTTTTAACTCAGTAAACAGAACTGTGCTTGTTGAAAGGATTTTTTTTTTTTTTGACACTCACTTTCTCTTCCATTTCCTGTCTTTTGTGGAGTTTGTTCAGCTGTTTGAATCCTTGAACAGGCTGAATATTTATTGTTAATGCTTGATTGTGTTTCTGTATTTACAATATTAATGAATAGTTTTACATCAGCTTTCATGCATGTTCTTCATTAGATGCAGCAAAACTGCTCCCCATTAGCACATTGATTTCCTGTACAGATGCTCTATTCAGCATTCTCCTTGGTGCTAAACATATTAGGAAAATTCCATCACAATTAACGTTCAGAGTAGCGGTAGGAAGAATGTGTCCAGTACATTTTCCCATCGTGTGCTTTGCTATTTTTTTTCACTTACACAAGATTTCCCCAGCTCTAGCTTTGCAATCGGCCACCCAACCCCCCCGCACCCCACCAACTCATTGCTAGAAAGAAGCACAGTTTTGTATGCACACACAATGTGGGCTGACTACAGAAAGTCACAGAGGGTGAATCTGGGACCGCTTGACATCAATGGGGGGTTTGTTGCTGACTTCAGTGGGGACAGGATTTCCCCCACAGTCAGTGTGTGAGAGGAGATGGAAATGGGGATACAAGAATCACCAGTGAAACTAAAATTGAATGAAATCTTGTCCACCCTGTCTCTTAAAATAACGCAATAGTTGTTCCATTTTTCTGTTGAGAATTCTCCTTCATTCTCTTGTTTCTCTTGTCCTTCCTCTTCCCTTC